CTGACCCCTCCACGCTGCGGCCCAGGCTTCCCTCCGGGGTGGCTTTCTTCCTGCCTTCGCCAGTTCTCACTCGCCCTTAGCCGGTTGCGCCTGGGTAATTATTAGCCATTAATTGAGTTCAAGACCTTTTCCCATTCTCTCTCTCCCTTCCTTCCCCCCCCCCAACTCGCCCTACCGGGGAAATACACACACACATATATATAAAGAAGAGGTGACCCGATATCTCCCGAAAAGGAGGGGAAGAAGCGCCATGAATTGGGTTGGAGAGGAAGACGCGCAGAAGGAAAAATCCAGGCAGGATTTGAGTTTGGCAACCTCACGATTCCCTTTGCGGGAAGAGACCTTAAGGAAGCGGGGGAGGGGGCGGCGGGAATCATTTAGGGGCGAGGGATAGGAACTTTAAGTTAAGGCAAGGCTTCTTTCCAAGGAATGGATCTCACCCCCCTCCCTTCTCTTTCCCGGCTTCTTTCTCTCTGCGCTTTTCAGCCTGCTGCGTGCCAGGAGCTTACTGGAACAGCCTGGCCTCGGGGCAAGCGAAAACCAGGCGGTAGCAGAAGACCTATAAAATCAAGGGCCCTTTAAAAGGAAGGCGGGGAGGGAGAGAGAGAGAGAGAGAGAGAGAGAGAGAGAGAGATTGAGAGAGAGAGAGAAGGGTTTCTGGATTGCCTTGGCAAGGGCTGGGGGTGGCGGACCAGGGTGGGGCCAGAGGGAGACCAAAATATAAGCTTCAGGTTGCTTGTAGTGGTTATTGTGATGCCCCCCCCAAGTCACGTCTGAATCATGACGACCCCATGAATAGGCCATCTTCTCCTCCACAGCCCTGCTCAGGTCTTGCAAACTCAAACCTGTGGCTTCCTTTAGGGAGTCCGTCCATCTTGCATTGGGGGTCCTCCTCTTTTCCTGCTTGCCTTCCACCTTTCCCAGCGTCACGGTCTTCTCTGGGGAGTCCTGTCTTCTCAGGACATGCTGAAAGGTGGACGGCCTCAGCTTCAACAATTTTTTGGGCCTCCAAAATTGCCTCTCCGCTCAGTTCAAACCTGAGCGGCCCATTGACTAATATACTTATGTATATGAGAGATAATATACTTTGGGGGAATCTCTTGCTTTTACACGAACTCCCAGAATGGAGCATTTTGGAGTCCGAACTCCCAGAAATCTGAAAGTCTCATCTCTAGCGGGTAAATGACATTCTTCACGGTCTTTTCCTGGTGGAGAAGATCATGCCTATGATTAGGATGGGTTGGGTTGGGGATTTGATTTATATATTTATTTATTTAAACTAATTTCACCTCTCCTTTCTCCTGAAAAAGGACCCAAGCTGGCTCACATCATTGAAAAAGACAATATCTGAAAGCTAAAACAGTAAGTATAAAAAAAATTAAAGGGGATCTAGCACCCTGAAAGCTAAAACAGTAAGTATAAAAAAATTAAAGGGATATAGCACCACACTAAGATAGTAAACAAAAGCAACACCAGAGAGCGATCCAAAGCATGTTTTATTCATTTCTAGGGCATAGCACTCCATTAAAAAAAATCCCTCTCAGGTGGCCAGTCACTCAGGGAATGCCTGGCGTCCCTCTCAGGTGGCCAGTCACTCAGGGAAAGCCTGGTGGAAGAAAAAGGTCTTGGTTTGCTTGCAGAAGGACAGGTCTTGGCTTGCTTGCAGAAGGACAGCCAGCTTCGCCTCCAGTGGGAGGGAGTTCCACAGTCTGGGAGCCCCCACCGAGAAGGCCTTCTCCTGTGTCTCCATGTTCCTGTGGGGATGGTGGGACTGAGAGAAAGGCCTCCCCAAAAGGAGAATTATGGGATCTGTAGTACTGAAAATCTGAAAATCTCACCCTTCAGGGACATACTGTATTTTTCCATGTTTAAGACGCCCCCATGTATAAGATGTCCCCCACTTTTCTAACCCCAAATTAAGAAATCTAAGTGGAGCTTAGTAAGCTTAGGGGGATCCCTGCAGGATCCCTTTGATCCCTGCTTTCCCTTCCACTTGTTTTTTCTCTCCTCAGCTTACTTCCATGTATAAGACGACTCTCAATTTTTAGTCTAAAGATTTTAGACAAAAGTATAGTCTTAAACATGGAAAAAATACAGTACTTTTATTCTTCTCCATTTTCTGGTGAAGGGGTTATGTCCATAATCAGGATGGAGCGGGTTGGAGAGGGTGGTCCTATGAGTCAACGTTGCTAGTTACATCTTTGTTCCTTGTGCTCTGTTGAGTTCATGATTTGCAAGCCCTTCGTGTACTTGATTACATTGCCACCCTCGTACCTTCTCCACTGCGAGGACACAGTGGTGGCCTGTCCTCCCATTGGATGCCCAGTGGGCTGACCAGTTAAAGCCTTAGCATCTTTGCTTCCAACAGCTAGGACGTTTGCTTAGCAGTGCAACAGGATTTCAGCCCCTAGCTCCTTAGCTGTGAGCAAACTTCTCTGAACTCAGTAAGGTTCACTCCCAAGCTTTTTGCATCCAGATGTGCTGGACATTTGGACTATCCCTCCCGTGAGCTCCAACTGGCATGGCCCCAATGGAGCTTGGCATCCTACACATCTGGGCATCAGCTGGATGGGAAACATAGATGTACCGGATTCTGCTGTTCCTTGCCTTGGAGCCTTCTTCTAAAACAGAAGAGGCCACAGCTGTTTCAAATCTTTGTTCGAATGAGCTTCCAACTCTAGCAAGGTTTCAGCTATGGCTTTCTACCTCCTTTCCAACTTTAAGATCTCCTATTTTAGAGATGGACACCAGCTGTCTATGTAGGCACTCTGGTATATATATTTTTTCCACATTGGATGAATTATGTCACTTTTCCTTTTTATGCACCAATAAATGGAGGCGATCCCAAATAAATACTAAGCTTTCTTTCTTTCTTTCTTTCTTTCTTTCTTTCTTTCTTTCTTTCTTTCTTTCTTTCTTTCTTTCTTTCTTTTCTTTTCTTTTCTTTTCTTTCTTTGACCCCGAAGTGTGGCATCAGAGTCTGCCAGGCAGGGTGGGGAAACCTCTTGATTAACTCCCTTGCTTCCCAAGGTGAATAGAGCAAGGCTTGGATGATCTTGGGACATATTTTATTCATTTAGGGCACAATGAAACTTTCAAACACCAGCTAGTTAGGGGTATAATTCAAGAGAGAGAGAGAGAGGTAGAACTTATGAGGTGTGAAGTGATTTTGCAGTAAGCTGTGATTCACTGGAGGAGAGGTGGGGGCAGACGCGAGAGGCGGTGGGAGGAGGCTTGGGACACAGGGTGGAGAAATCCTGAAAATATAAAGTGTGTGTGTGTGTGTAGGAAAACCAAACAGAGGAGACATGACCTTAAAACAATTAAAAACATAACAAAATAAGAATTGCCCTCCATTAGATTACTGTATTTTTCGCTCCATAAAACACACCTTTCCATAAGACGCACCAATTTTTTAGGAGAAGAAAACAGGAAAATATAATCTGTTTTCTTCGCTCCATAAGACGCACAGACTTTCCACCCCCCCTGTTTTGTGGGAAAAAAGTGCGTCTTATGGTGCGAAAAATACGGGTATTTACTCTTTGAAGTTACCGGTACCTGTTTTTCAGTTTTCCAACCAAAAACAAGTTCTTGCAGTCAAAGAAAGGATTGTCCTTTCAGTTCCAGTACTTTATCTTAAAAACAACAACAACAACAACAACACCAAACATCCTGTGCTTTTCATAAAGAAAGGAGCGGATAAATCAAAGGCAGGTGCTTCTTCAACATTCATTCATTCATTGAATTTCATTGTACGGTCATAGTTCTGATTTATTATATGGTCACTGCCCTGAGGAAAGGCAAACGAGACTTAAAACATGTATATTGGGTTACAATGGTTTTCAAGAAAGTAGAGTAGAAAAGAAGACTGAGGGGAGTTATGATAATGTTTTTCAAATACTTGCGAGGTAGTCCTACAGAGGAAGGGCAGGATCTGTTCTCGATCATCCCAGGGTTCAGGACACATAAGAATGGGCTCCAGCTACAGGAAGCCAGGTTTAAGCTGAGTATCATGAGAAAAAAACACTTCTTAACTGTTAGAGCAGTACGACAATAGAACCAATGACCTCAGGGGGAGGTGGTAAGCATTCCAGTGCTAGAGGCCTTCAAGAGAAAATTGGACAATCATTAGTAAGATCTACTTTGATTTGAATTCCTGCCTTGAGCAGGGGGTTGGACTTGATGGCCATGTGGGCCTTTTCCAACTCCATGATTCTATGAAAATATCATCATCCTCTTTTTGTTCCTCTCTTACTAGATGTCGGACATCTTCATGAACCCTCCAACTCTGGATGTAGCAGCTGTAAACAATGATGGTGCGTTACATAGCAGGGTTTTTTTTCAGTCAAGATGTCGCTGGTTTCCCATGCGAAAAGTTGATCTCCTTCATTAACTTCTTTTCCCATTTGTTTTATGTGGAATGATCAGCTGTTACAACCAGTACTTGCCATCGTCCATTACGTGACTGAGGTGTTCTTGCTTTCTGTAAAAAACAAAAACAACAGCATCTATTGATCTTCATTCATTCACTTTAGTACTCCTTTGTTGGTCAGCCTTTCAGTCAAATAAATCCTTATCAACCTACAGCAAAACTGCAATTGATTGATTGATTGATTGATTGATTGATTGATTGATTGGATTTCTATCCCGCCCATCTGGACCAAAGGTATAGAAATATAGAAGCTTCTATTTTTTTTTAATAGGTAATGGTGGTAAAGTCCATAATTCCATGCTAAAGATTAGACTGGAGAATACATAGCACCCTACCATGTTCCCTGAGAAGACCAGTTTTAGGAACTGCTGGATTACTCAGTGGTTTGGGTTGGGAGTTCGATTCCTCACGGTGCCTCCTTATTAGGGGCTTGTTTCATAAAGTCTCTTTCCAGCTCTGCAGTTTTTATTTTCATTTTCATTTTCATTTTTATTTTTATTTTTTGCTTTTTTGCAGGCAACATTTAGGTAACGTTTATAACATTATATACAGTATAGCAAAGGGGAAATTTACATAACACATGAACAGCCAAACTGATCCCTGCGCCTCCAAGCCTGTTTTGTTGCCGTGTCAGGAAACAGGATCAATACCTGCTAGCCTTTTCTACACCTTGACTGCTACAAACGCAACGTATAAATCCACTTTTTAATCCAAAAATTCAACTTGTCTCGAACTTCTTTCTCAGAAACAGAATATTATAAATTCAAAGTTATCGGGGGTTCATAATAATACTAACCATGTGCCGGCAATTCAATTCTGACTTATTATGACTCTTTTCAAAGTTTTCCAGGTAGAGAAGACTCAAAAGTGGTTCCCTATTCCCTTCCTCTGGGGGGAGCCCTGGGACGGTGCAGCTTGCCCAAGGCTACCCAGGCTGGCTCTTCTCCCTTGAGGCCCAGTAGGTGGGAATCGAACTCCCAGCCTCTGGCTCTGCAGCCAGAGAGCTCAACCACCAAGCTATCCAGCCAGCTATGAACAGTTATAGAAGCATACAGTTGTAGAGGGGGACATGTGAATAGGAGTCATGCCATCCACCCTGCCTTTCAATGAAGGGACTTAACAGCAGAAGTATTCCTGGCAGGCAGAGCGCCTCACCAGCCATTAAACCTCCATTCAAAAGCCTCCAAGATGGGAAGGGCTTTTCCCCCACTGCTTAAATTTGTCCTGTTCTTTTATTTCTGGACCCCTATCGGAATTGTAACTAGGTTCTCAAGCTTTGCTTCCATGGCGCAACCTATCATCGATTTCACGAAGAACACAAATCTTTGTAAAAAGAGAGTTTTTCAGGGGGGTGCCAGTCTGAGCGATCGCCCTGACCTCCACCATGATTGCAAGCGGAGGTGGCCAGGCTGGCTGGGGGATGATGAGATTTATAACCAAACATGCCTGAAGGGCAGCTGGTTTTGGCAGCCGCAAGGATCTCCATCGAAGCTTGGGGAAAGATGGAAAGTATGGATGGGCGTTCCTTCCATCTTCCAATGGGATTAAGTCGATGGTCCTGCTAATGGGGCAATTCTGGAAGACACCTCCCTCTTCAAATATTTTTCTTCTTCCAAATTCTGACATTCGGGAAGCTTCCCACCAACCCTCTCTGACCATCTTTTCTTCACCATTTTGTCATTCTCTAGTTCGCTCCATCGGCTTTTATCGGTTATCTGTTATTTGGTCTTAAACGGCTTCCCTTTTATTTTGGTTTGGTTGGTTTCTGACTGCAAAACCACCCAGAACTCATGCACTCATGGGGAGCGGTATACAAACTTAAGCAATAAATAAAATAAATGAATGGACATACAGTGGAGCCTCGCTAGACAGTTACCCCGCATGACAGTTTTTTTTTGCTAGACATTGACTTTTTGCAATCGCTATAGCGATTCGCAAAACAGTGATTCCTATGGGGGAATTTCGCTGGACAATGTTTGGTCCCTGCTTTGCAAACCGATTTTCACTAGACGACGATTTTGACAGCTCGCTCCGTGCTTGCAAAACAGGTGTTTTCGGGACCTAAGCTTTGCAAGACAGTGATTTAAACAGCTGATCGGCGG